TTAAATAACAAAAAATAATTACCCAACTCTGCTACAGGCAATATAGACATAAAATGATCATTTTTGATCTGGTGGTAATAATATTCATTATTACCATATTTGTGGTAATAATATAATATGATTGGGATGAATTATAGATTAAGCCGTGGTCGAGTGGCACTGCCATCCCGGTAGCTACGCCTTTGGTTTGTCAGTGAACAAAACCACTGTCCGGGCACTACCACGATATCTCGTCATGCGATAATTTGATATAATATTTTATGCCCAAAGACGTCGACCGTCTTTATTTTGTTGGTTCTGAGAAAAATAGTTTAATACTTCTTCATCTCTACATTAAAAAAATTCTATCTAAAAAGCGCCGAAATCCTGACCGTAAACCTTAAATAAAACAGTTTTATATTACCTAAAGTTTGTATAGGTGAAGCCCGGTATATTTATTTGCTTAATGATTTTAAAAGGCAGGTGGTTAAATAAATAGCTTTTATGCCTTTGGGAACAAGTCCTAAATGTTTTACCTGGGCCCAGTAATTATATACAAGTCGTTTTTATTTAATAACGAATAAACTGGCTGTTATGTTGTAGTTCAAAGCTCGGACAAAAGAGAACTTGCTATTATTTAGTTTAGGGCTAGGTCACATATTTAGTTTAGGGCTAGGTCACATATGCGCGGTAGCAGTAGCGGTGGCCGTGGACTTCACGTAAAAATCAAATATGCTGTTACTTGTCTTAACTGGGTTCAAAGAGGTGGGGCAGTGTTCTAATATGCGGTGGCAGTCAAATATTGTCTTTCGAGTTCGAACGCTATTCAAACGCGTACTGCACGGGGAAATGAATGTAGAAGAAAGTTTTGCTGAGAAACTAAACATGTCAAGAAATACTGAAGACGTTGCTGATTTATTTCACGTACCCGTGTTTTTTCCTAAAATAAAGTAAAGAAAATTAATAACATTTCGAATTCAACAACTTTAAATGAAAAACTTAACCACAGTTTCTATGATGATCTTCTTCATTGACGGTTACCAGAAGCAATTCTTCTTTAAAATCCATACTGTATTTGTTTAAAAATTAATGTTTTGATGCAGTGATATAGCGAATGCCACAGCTCATGTATATGTGTTTAGTATGATTACCACCACCTTTGTTGCTTTGTGCACAAGCCTTTAGAATGTCAAATTCCTCACTCCCGAACCGTAATCCTTGTCTTCGGCTCTTACAAACATTTTGCTCGTTTGAAATACAGGGTGCGGCAAAGTTCCGCCCCTATTTTGCACGAAAAAGCGTATAAAATGTAATTTAATGAGTATGCTACAGAAAATAAATATTTATAGCTCAGAATAAGTTTATAACAAGTGTTCAAATTGGTGACCATCTTGGTCAAGCATCTTGAAGTTGTACTGCACCAGATTACGTCGCGCTGTAAGAACCTGATAGTGGGGCGGAACTTATGCCGCACCCTGTATATGGGCCTTTCCATAACTTGTTTTGGATATACTATTAAGTAATGCAAAGTGGTACTCAAACATAAGATCTTTTTACTTCTTTTGGTATTAGTTTTTTAATAAAACCAAAAATTGGGGCGCCGTTAATATCGCCATATTGCAAGATTATTCAAAAAACTTTCGCTACTTTTAATAAAAGATATTCTCAATAGGCGTTTTCATTTATTAACGCGCTACATACCGGATAGTCTTCTCCCTCTCTAAATGCATAAGATAAACAAGGAAAAGACTATCTACCGGCGTGTACCGCTCAATAAATGAAAACGCCTATAGATAATCAAACAGCATTTAAAAGAATAGAATCGATTTTTTTACTTTTTTCGAAGAGCAAATTCTGTTAGTACCTATTTGATTTAAGCCTATGCACGAATAAAGAAAACGAAATGATCGCCCTGGCATATTTTAAAATGTTCAGCCACGGCAATCAATTCGATCAACAACCCACGACTTGGGTTTAACATTCTATCTAAAAAAAGCATAAAATTCATAACAATTTTTTTTTTGAAATTGCCAATTGAAATGTATTTTCTCTTGTCAAAAAGAAAACAACAAAACATAATGCTTGATACATTGTATTCAATAATCGTGCATGTAGTCTAAAAAGCCTCCAAGCTTTTTTCGTCATCGAAAAAAAAACCTTACATACCCATTCAGCACTGTAATAAACATAATGAAAGTGCCAAAGAAAGAGTTGCATCACTTTATTGATGTTTTATTTATTTATTAGGTATATTAATGGTAGGTACGTTCCTTTTTATGCAAGAACATGTGAGATGAGTGATTTTTAGGTCACTAGTAGTTGCGTATGTTGCCAGGTATTTTACTTTCATGTTTTACCCAACCATTACTTGTTTTATAATAACTGTTGCCTGAGGAATAACTACTTGCACGTCCCAAGTAATTTCGTAGGTATAGCTCTTTGGCGTAATGCCATACAGATATTTTAAAAGTGATGTGAAATTCTTGACCACAAGAACAAAAACAAAGAAAAACTGCATGGCAACAACTACCTCAAAAATTTCACATTACACGAATATTTTTGTTTAACCATCTTTGGGGGCAACAGGCAAGGGTAGGTGGGGGTGAGAACAGTATAATATACAACGTGTCCCACAAACCACAAACGTATCTTCGTTAATTAATTTACGAAACAATATGAAAATTGGATGCTCTGGTATATGAGTGGTGCTGAGTCAAAATTTGATATTTTCTTCCATCTACAACTTCCGGTTCATAACCGGAAGTGGGCTATCAATTTGAATAGGGAATCATATGGCATTTTGACATATTCGGTTAGATTATTATTTTCTGAATCCAAAAATATACCACTGTGGGGATCGGATCAAAACTGTACAAGTTATTAGTAAAAATACAAAGGACTGATAGGTGCCATATTATGTTAAATATCAAGATTGCTAATACAATTTCAGGAATGCCATGATCACTATGGTAATAAAACAACTAAACAATACGTCATTTCAACAATTTCTTCAAGTATTACGTATCATCTTAGTGAAGAAAAAATGTACCCATGGATTTCTATCTATGGGGGTATCTAAAATCCGAGGTGTCAATTACCTAAGGTACGCATCTATCACTAAGTTGATAGATTATATTTGCAGAAATTAGTGTTGAATTGACGTATTCTTTACTTTTTTTAGTACCACAGTGATCATGGCATTCGTGAAATATTTAATGTAATCTTGCAACTTTGCAGATTCAGTCCTTTGTTTTTTTGTTAATAACTTGTACAGATTTGATGCTAGATACACACAGTGGTATATTTTTGGATTCAGAAAATAATGATCTTACCGAATATATCAAAATCGCATATGATTCCCTATTTAAATAAGAAAGTTGATACCACTTCCGGTATGAACCGGAAGTGGTAGATGGAAGAAAATATCAAATTTTGACTCAGCACCACTCATATACCAGAGCATCCAAGTTTCATATTGTTTCGTAAATTAATAACGGAGATACAGGGGGGAACATTTTAAGTGGGACACGTTGTATACACAAGCATTCGATCTTTTACCGAGGAATGTTGATATTCGCCAATTTTGGTATTTCGCAGTAACATATAGGTACATTATCGGTGATCGAATAAGGGCTGTACTTGTTATTTGTTAATGTAGTGGTGTAGTCTTAAAATAGGTTATTATAGGTTATTAAAATATTTTATTAACTTAGGTTCTAGCCTTTTTTATGTTCTGTCATCTCAAATAATTTCACATTGCTCAAAAGAGCCGAAGCAAGGAATTTCATGGTGCGATGAACAAAATTTTACTTTATTTACCATAAATTTTGTGTTTTTATGAATAGACTACAATTATACAAGAATTAAATTTTTGCAACAAGAGGTCACAAAAATACTTAGACAAACATTTTCAAAACATTAACAGTTATATACATTACAGTAGTTATAGCAATACATATGAAAAGAAATTCCAACTCTGCTTCCATGCGTGTTAAGTTAATTGTTAATGGAAAAACTCCAAATAGTCTCATTAATTTCATGAACGCTCCACTGGCAATAATTCAAGCGGTAAAGTCGAGAAACTGTCTATAAATCGGTTTTTATGTGAAAAGCGACAAAAAGCTGCTCAAATAAAATATTCGGATTCGTTACAAATCCATTTACCTTTCGGAGACTGAAAAAAAAATGTCGTGGTGATCGACATTACTGAAAACGTTTCTTTCCTATGATATCGTGTCTTTAGTTTTTTGTTATTTACTTTATCTAGTATTTAATTCAATACAGAATTGAACAATTACAACTTGGAACATACCTATTTCACGTTACATTTAAAATGTAATTTAGGAATATTCTTATTTTTATAGGTGTTTTATAGGAGCCGAAGTCAAAATTGATTTGTCATAGAGCTGTAAAAAGGATTGTAAAACAAAACTTTATAATTATTATTTTATTTATAGTGAGAAAGATAAAGCAGTTTTATAAAAAACGTATTAAGTATATAAGTATATACGTATAAAAACGTATAATTAAACGTAATTTGTAAAACGTAAACGTATTCTGTAGAATCAAACACTGCTAAATGTGTCCAACAATCGGCGACTATACTTTATAAAATGGGGTTTATAAAACATGGTACCTATATTATATTATTATGGAAGACATGACAATAAGTCTAAGATTAATACTTAGCCCAATAACGATGTAGACCATCTTTTATGAGACATTGGCGAATAATATGCTCCAAATATTTTTAACAGGTACATGTTCTTGAACCCGGCAGCAAGCAGGCATTTTATAAAAAAATATATACCTAAATAAAGGATATCCTACACGCATTAATTAACTGGGATAGGGCAGAACGTATTCCGGAATATGTCTCGTCTTAGCTCTATTATACTGACTAATAAATGAGATATAAACGTACAGCTTGTCCACATCCACAATTGAGCTAAGCGAACCTTTTCTTCTTAGTGCCTGTTCCTGAAAAAAAACCGAACGCTGATCCCAAATTCATTCAAATGGGTGTTTGCAGCTTAGTGGTAAAGGCGCCGCGCGCCGGTCTCTTATGCGGGAGATTGCAGGTTCAATTCCTGGCAAGGTCGAAGAACTGAGGGATTAGATGGTAGGGTAGCTTACAGCTAAGTTTGGGTGGAAACCAGGTAGAAGAACATTGTTTTAGAAATATAGATATGTTTGTAAAAATTATTGGAGAACAAAGTTTTCTCAGCCTCTGATTACCACTAGTAGGTATCTATAAATAGGGATATAACAAATAAAACAAATCGTGCACTAGTATTGACTTGAGATTCAGAGGGAACAGCTCACATGAAATACGAGTTTGCTAAGTATATTATTTATATCATCCGCTACATTTATCAGATATGATATTTTTATCTTAACGGAAACACGATGGATGCTAAATGACATTCTAGCAACATTTTTTTGTATAGTTGGCATTGCCTATAATTAGTTCATTTTTAATTTGTAACAATGGATCTGTTTTAAATTCCTTTAAATTAATAAAATAACAAATCCAAAAACATAACTCGCAACACGTTAAGTTGTAATAATAATAATATAATAATAATATTATGTTGAAAATTGCTCTGTTTTTACAATATCATGTCAATTTTATAAACGATTTTGTTCTTTACGTCAAAAAAAAAATAGTAAATATTTGTCCTTGTAGTAAAAATACAGGAAGCGGCTTTGTAAAATCCTTCGGCATTACTACAAATCTGTAATAGAGTTTAAAATTTACTGCATAGTAAAAAATTCTGAAAAATCTAAAGCCCTACCAAGATTTGTTCATAATAATAATTATGTCTACAGAAAAGATGGCCGAAACAAGTTTGACGCCAAAAGAGGACAAAAGGAATCAGTGTTTAATAACGTTGCAGATCAACATTGCGAGAAAGCTGAGCAAAACTTTTTAAATTTTCGACATGAATCCGACTGTTTTTTGTGCCGTTCGGAAGATGAGTAAATATAAAGAAACAAGTGCATAAAAAAGGAGTTGAACTTATAACAAAATACGAATTGAAACACTCATGCAAAATATAGCTTTCGACTTTTCTGAAATAATTAGGATAATGATACGTGAGGTCTGGTTGCACGCAAACTAACCAGTGGCGGTGCCCGGGAGTTTATCTGATGATTATTGAAATTATGTGTTATATTATATCGTCAGATGCTGTTCGAGGCCCCTGTCAACAAAATGTAAGCTACTGAAAAAAAGATGAAAGTGATCTAAATACAGGGTGTTAAGAGACGTATACCATTAATTTAAAGGGACAGTAGGGCATCAAAATACTAAACAGATTAGGGTAATTTATAATATGGTATTAATATTATTGCGCTAGGTCAGGGGTCGGCAACCTGCGGCTTGCGAGCCACATGCGGCTCTTTGGATGTGAAGCTGCGGCTCTAAGGTTACTAAAAACACTACTAACCTATATATGAATAAATATATATTTTTTCTTATGAATAAATAGATTAGTTTTTTATCAATAGTTATTTACATTACAAGCTGCGAAAGCTTACTTTTAGGTGCGAGGTGTATTTGAATATCTCCGAGCACCTAAAAGGGCTTTGTGTACGTGTAATGTATTAAACTTTTCATTCTCCCCCGATTTTATATAAAACACACAATTTAAAGATGCTGTAAACTGTAATCAAATGTGTTTTATTTCCATAAAATTAGTAGTATCACAGTGTGTTGTTAACGTTACTTTGGTAACATTCATGTCAACAAAAAATATTATTTTGACAGTTTTCAAATAATTATTTTTCAATATAAAGTTAATTAGTACAAACGTCTTGTAAGTTTAATATTTGGCTAGAATTTAGTTAAAAATGAATTCCATTGAAGAAGCAGCAATTATTGCGTGCAGAAGTTTGTTACCGGACAAATTTAAATACCGTTACAATCAAGCCTATATGAAAAGTTCATTAAATGGAAGGCAATCATAAAGGGTAAAAATAACGGATATCAACCTCGAAAATTTCAGGTATTTACAAAGGATCATATATTTTATATCAAAGTTTTTTGTGAGAAGTTCCAGATGAAATAATAGAAGATGCTAATAAAATCGTGGTCGAAAAATTGATATCTATTCAGCAAACAGAATTTAATGATCATGTTGCTCAAATCGACAAACAAGTCAACATTTCCAGTTACGTTGCTTTTGAACAGGATTTCTATCAACATTTGCCGTTAAATCTTTCAGGAACATAGAACAATAATAATTGTAATTTTACATTTAATTTCCACTCCAAATAAACATTTGACATTAATAATTTGACGTTTTTATTTTTTCGTCGTCCAGGGCACGAAAGTTTTTCATACTTAGCAACCGATAACCTAGCATGTTTTACTTTCGCTTTCGCTTGCCTTTTTAAAATAAAAAAATATACTTTCGTAGGGGGAGAATGAAAAAAACTTTATTTATGCGAGTACTACGTATTTATTGTTGGCAAGAAAAATTTTTTGTGGCTCTTTAAAAACTGAAATTTTGTAAATTGTAATTTTTGACTCTTCGAACCAAAAAGGTTGCCGACCCCTGCGCTAGGTCAATCAACGACCTGCTTATTTAGTCGTTCAAAGGCAACGTATAATAGAAGTAGCTATGCAACCAAAAATACTTCTGTAATTTCGGTTGCCTAAACTGCACCACTTTTATACGTTTAAGCGTATGATTTAACGAACCGCCGCCCATGAGCGAATAGCTACAACTTGGTGACTTACTAGTGGTGACTTAGTGACTTACTAGTAAGCAACTTGCACCACTAACAGCCCCACCCGACACCGACCTCTTAGATATATGGATTAATTATTGTATGTCTAGATGGAAATTACTTAACAGTTTTTGGTCGAAATGGAGTCAGGCATATTAACACCAACATCATCAAAGGAGTTTAAAACTAAAAAAATTAAAATTATGTAAAACTGTATAAATACATTTTTTTTACATAAATGTGACGAAAACGCAAATATTCGTAAAATATGCAACCAATAAAAACATTAATACGCTTATCTATCTACCAACTAAATTGAACCATTCATGACACTCAAAGTACTACACATAATACATAATTCATAATTTTCCTAACACACAGGCGTGACATATATGCAGAAATAAAGATATAAACTTTTATTATATCAATTTTATTGTTGGTTTTATGTATTTTTTGTTCCTGGACTGCAAGGTGTAAATTAATATAATTATTTTTCCATTAAAAATGGTAACATAAATGTCAGTTATGGTTAGATTATACAGCTTACGTATGTGATTAGATTTTAATAATTTCCGGCGTTATGTGTGACCGAGAAATATTGATCAGCATTTTGATGCATGTACTGTTATTCCACTATTCGTTTTATGTAAGGTATGTTTACTATGGTATAATAGCTTTTCCGGCATCGGTCAAAGAGAAAAGTGATGATCAGATTTAGCTACACGTAGATAGTATCAACATTCTAATAAAACTTTGTATCAACACAATGATCAACACTGAAATTTGGGCGGTGTCACTAAACTAAAGGACTGAAGAATGTTTTTTTTCGAAGTTTTAGTTTAACTAAAATATTTAACTATTAATAACGGTATGAGATAGGGGTAACATATGGTATATTTTTTATATCAGGAAAAAAGGATCATTTCAGAAATTTGATAATATACTGGGTATCTATCCCATTTAAAACAATATTTTTTTACATCCCCTAAAATCTGCACGCCACTGTTCTTTTGATAGCATTTTAATAAAATTGTGTCATAACCACAAAACTTTTATTTAAATTTTTTTTTTTAGTTTCAATACCGATTGTAGTTTCGTAAAATATTAATAAAATCAATAAAGTAGTTAGAATATAACTATTGGCTACGGGCCCTAGCCACATCGGTAGTGCTCTATCTACCGACGTGGAGAGGTAGGGGGTCAAATCCTAACTGGGTCTCAGATTTTCTTTACTGAAATCGACTCTAGTGGTGAGATATGCAACCGCATTACTACATCACCTGTGGTATGATTTGTAGATTTAACTTTCCCCCCAGGTAAGTTCCGAGTTTTGGGTTCGGGACTGTAAGCAAATGCGTTACCAGAATGAACTTAAGTCGCTAGCGCGAATAAATTAGCCTCGTACAAGAACCGTGAGGTTCTTCAGAGGCTTGTATAAGGGTGTATATTATTATAATTGATTTATGCTTTATTTTAAAATCTCATTTTTGTTAAGAAAAAATAAAAAGGGACAAATTTATTTAAATTCAATGTGTTTCTCACAATAGACCGTAAGTAAGCTTGTTGATAAACATTTAAAACTGTTCGAATAATACCTTTTGCAAGCTATTTTCCTAGACGGTATTTAAGATAAAAGCTCTGCTGAAAGTTATTACCTTCGAAGGTTGCGGACCATCAAGCTTGCCTGGCCATTCGACCGGGAAATTTAACTTGACGTTATTTATATTTATTTTAAATGCCTTAGGAACGGTTAACAAGGAAAAGTAAGCGATCAAGTATTCTTCTCTGCCTGGCGAAGATATCGTGAGCTTTGCTTATATATTATTTCGCCTATTACGTCTTACTCGAAAGATTAAACATTTAAAGGCCAAGCTAAGGTTAGAAAGTCGGTATTTTTTTTAAACAAAATCTGTTTTTTGTGAGATACGAAGTCGATTCAATAAGGATAAACTATAGAACTAAATTTGAAAGAGTTTTAACTTCTACAAACAAGATTCAAATGTTACCATTTTGATACAGAATACTACCTAATGGTTCTTGGTTATTCCAGTTTCTCCAAAAAGGCTAGAAAATATTTGGTTACCTCTTACGAATGTTGTTAGACCGTTTGCACATCATTACTTTCACCTGTGTGACGTGTAATGGGGTTGTATAGATGTCAATCCATACCTCGCCGGCTCTAGAATTCGTACTGTTTCGAGTTTTCTGGGTTGTCTCGAGACCAGGGCCGGATTTATGGTAAGCGCCGCCGCCCCAGGCCCCAAAAAATTGCCGCCCCCAATGCCCCCATCCAAGATACTATATTTAATTTTTAACAATTTTCCAAAAAAATTAAAAAACTACCTTAAGAAACAAAAATTGTATT